GTTCTTTTAATATTTAAAATACATTTTAACTATTTTGAACAGACATTATTAGATATAAAAATTATTAGATACAAAAAATAAAATAAAAACATTGTAAACTGCAGAAAAAGATATACCTAGTCCCAATACCTTGTCCATTCATTCCAATAAGAGCAAACAATGATTGAACCCCACTTATTGTAAGAAGCTGTATGAAAGGAAATATCTACTATGTTAAAAAAATAATTCTTTAAATTTGATCAATCATAAATTGTTCTTTGTTGTTATGCTTAAAAACTGTAAGTTGATTTTGAATTTTATTTTAGATTATTTGGATTAATTATTGTTTATTGTTATTTGGATTAATTATTTTTATTGTTTGTTTATTTTTTATTTTTAATGTTTGTTAACTATATACATGTTTGTTTTATATTTTGTTAATTACATATATATATATATATATATATATATATATATATATATATATATATATATATATATATATATATATATATATATATATATATATATATATATATATATATGTAATTAACAAAATATGAAACTAGCATGAGTGACAATAATGCAATGCAGATATATGCAATATGCAATAATCAAACCTATGTAATCGCCAGATTTTAAACCCGAAAGGTGCAAATGTTTTTAATGAATATATCGTTGACAACTGTTTAGAAGTCACTGCATGTGATCATCTTAAATACTTTTGAAGTAAATTTTTTTCTCTTTAAAACCAGAATATCTGAAGTTTTAAAAGTGTCTGAATGCCTAAAGTTAATTCTTTAATGTCACCCATAAAACCTCTTTTTATATATCAAGTTTTTTTTTTCAGTTTAATACATTTCACCCTATGTTTAGCACCACAAAACTTTTTTAAATTTAAAAATTAGAAAAATATACAAAATATAACCATATTCTTCACTAATCACTTTTATACACACTACCACATGTAATCCACCACCACTTGCTATCCACCCCTGATTACCACCACAGCACTACTTGTTAGTTACTTTTTACCCTGCATTACCATCCCCTGCCACCTTCTCCCCATGATTTCTTATAACCTATGAATTATAACTAAAATCAAATTATAGCTTTAAAGCACAACAACAATTCTAACAAACTAAAATCTTTGTTTTCATTAAAAAAATTTCTATTAATATTATTATTATTATAATTATTATTGTTTTACTGTTATTTTTTAAATATCAAATCCTACTTTGGAAAGTTCACCTGTCGGAACAATTTCTTGAAGTAGACTATGCATTAAAATTATTTGCTCCTAAAAAAAAAAAAAGATATTATCAGCAATTTTTATTATTATTTTATATACTTTAGTAGAAGGGGTTTTTTTTAACTCAGAAACATAAACCGTTAAACATGGCTGCTGCACAAAGAAACATGCTGAGGGAGAAAAAAATTATCTGCAATATAGATCTAGTTGAATTACATCAGAATTACATTAGAATTACATCAGTCACATCCTAATATTAAACTTTATGTATCATACACATACCTGATTTATTGTTCCAATTTTGACCTGGGCAGCTATACAGCATTTTCAATGTTTTAAGTATGTGAACATGCAGTATGAAACATCTATTGAACACCACAAAGTTTTATTCCAAATTCATTATCCCATTTCAATTATTCTACATTTCTTAACTTCTATTCTATGGACTATATGTCTTTTACCATTGCTGGTGAATAGAAGTGTTTTAATATAAGATACAAGTAGTATAATAAATTATTGTAAATACAAAATAAAAGATGTTAAAAAATGTTAAATGTCTAGTCTTTCTTTTTTTCTAAATTTTTCGCTTACATAAAAGTCAATATATATCATTTAAGTCTTTTTTCAGTAATCAATAAGCATTGTGATGACAATATCAAATTAGCACCAAAAGAATTTTTTGATCTATATTTACTGAACAACATCAACTCAATTATAACACATACAACTATCAACAACATTAGGTTTGATGTCAATATAGTTATTTATTTTGTTTATATTGACATCAAACCTAATTTTGTTGATAGTTGTATGTGCTATAATTGAGTTGATGTTGTTCAGTAAATATAGATCAAAAAATTCTTTTGGTGCTAATTTGATATTGTCATCACAATGCTTATTGATTACTGAAAAAAGACTTAAATGACTGTTCATCGTGTTTGTTGGACACTTTGAAGTTTAAAAAGTTTTTATTTTCTAGTGTTGTACTTGATGTTATGAGGATTAATAAAATTAAGCTGTTTGAAAAAGTTCTCGGTTTCTTGTAATAAATGGTTTTATTGCATAGTTTTACTGCTCTGCATCAAAACGATGATGTAAACTTTGTAGGTTGTATGCTTTAAGTTGTTGATTGATTTGAAATATATCTTTGTTTTGAATATTAATTTTAAGTATTAAAAATAGAATCATACACTATGCGTTGCTAAGACTTCGTAGTTCTTTTTTTGTGTAGTGAATTATAAGACTTGAGCAGTAATCAAAGTTAGTTAGAATGAATGTTTTAAAGAGTTATAAACGAACTTTGAAGGCTAGACTAAATATATTAGTTATTGAGAATAATTTTTTGTATACCTTTGCTTTTATCTCTTTTATGCGTTTGGTAAAATATAATTTGCTGTTTATAATGACACCAAGCAAATATAAAGCAAAGAAAATTTATTAACTATTTCAATTTTGAACTTATCACTTAATATGATTGATGTAAGCAATATTATTTTAGATGTATGCTTATTTGTTAAAATCATTGCTTTAGTTTTATCCCAATTGATGTTGAGTTTATTAGCATAGCACCACTCAATAAAATTATTAAATGTAAACTGAGCTTTTGTTATCTGATGGTTTATATTGGTATCACTTGTCATAAGTGTTGTGTCATCTGCAAATAATGTTGATTCAAATAATGTCAAATATTCAAGTAGATCATTGATGAAAATTAAAAAAAAAAAGAGATCCTTAAATGGAACTCTGTGGTATACCGATATTAACTTGTTCTTTGTTAGAATATGCATCTTTAACTTTTGTAAATATTTTTGTATTATGAAAGTAGTTGTTTATTAAGTTCAAACATCAGTTGAAAAACAAAATGTTTTAGCTTCAAAATCAGTAATTTGTTATCTATTAACTCAAAAGCTTTACTAAAATCAATAAATACTAATAATGTAAAGAGTTTTCTAGAGTTGCTTAGCTTTGTTTTAGAGGTAAGAACATGTAACGCAGTTTCACATGAATGACTGCATCTGAAACCATGTTGGGCATCATTGAATAAATTATTTTGTTCAAAGTATGAAGTTAGCAACTCTCTTAGCAACTATTCATTCAAACACTTTTGTTAGTGGAGATATTATAATAGTGGAGTTACTATAGTAATACTCAGATAACTATTGATACAATGAACTTCACCTTTTTTTTATTAAGTGGCATAATGCTACCTTTTTTAAACTCATTTCAAATACTTACTGTTTCTAGACATTTGTTAAATTCTAATATTCAAAATATCTCAAAATATGCAAGTTAGAATAACATGTATATTTATATCGAGTTATGGTCTTTAAAAAGCAAGGAAAATTATTTTCATTGAAGAGGCATGGTGACTAATAAAATTGCTTGTGACTCAAGCAATCAAGCAGGGATTAATAAAATTCATTGTTTTACATTTTAATTTGATAGTCACAAGTTTTAATTAAAACTAGTTTCTAGTCCCTTAAGATTTTTTCCAAGTGCTGAAATAAATATAATGTTTTCACACAAAACCCACCTAAAAATACTATAGTATCTAAACAACTTGTTTATCTGTGCAGTAACCTTGATTGTTAAAATATATGTTTCAGGATTTTACTATTAAGTGAGGAATATAACAAAAAATGTATGAATGGATAGATGGATATTGGATATGGATGGATGGATGGATATGGGTGGTTCTTAAAGGGATCCCTAAGTGCTCCTAACATATAATCTCATATGAAAGAGCATAAAAAAAACTATGTAAGTTTTTTTTCTTTTTCACTAAATTGTAATAATAAATGCATGCTAACAAAAAGCAATTGCCGAAATCACTAAAAAACAACTCCATTTTGATTTTATTTTTTCACCATTAAAACTCGATTGATAGTCGTTAAAAATCACGTTAGTACGTCACAACAACTTTAGCATATCTACTTCGATTTTCAAGTAAAAAAAAGTCATGATTAAATAGTTAAGTTTTAATCAAGTTTTTTTAATTAGTTTTGCAAAAACAGTATAATAGCATTCGGTTAAAAGACGTCGTTAAAAAAAAGTTATTAAGTAATAGTTTTAAATAGTTTAGAACTTATAAAAAAGTCTTACAGGGCTCGTATTAAGCGTATCGCGATCGCGATTGCTACACACACTTTTGTGATTAGTTTTTTCTTAAAAAAAATCTTTTCGCAACTCATTTTTTTTTTGGTTGATTAATTACTTTTTTTCTAGCTTAACATTTTAGCAATTCTTAAAAGTAATGTTTTTATCAAAAAGAACTTCACACAGAACTTATTATTCTGAATAGATAGATGAATAGATGATTTGCTTTTAATGTAATTTTAACGTAACGTAACGAGATTTTCTTTTAACGTAAAACATTTTTGAATTTAAATTACTTTGAATCTCTGCGTGGAAAATTTTTACAAGGTTGTTAAAGCGAAAAGTTGAAAAGTTGGTTTTTATCTTTGTTTATCAAAACTTCATGTTTAAAATTAAAAATAAAAACGTTAGAGCAAAAAAATTACTGACTTTTATTTGCATTTTTATACTGTTTGAAAAAAAACAACTAATAAAAAGGAAATAATATATAATTATTTATTAATATATTATTAGTTAATTCTTTTTTATTAGTTTTTTTTTCAAACAGCATAAAAATGCTAATAAAAACCAGCAATTTTTTTACTTTAACGTTTTTAAGCCTTATTTTAAACATAAAGTATAATTCGATTTATTAAACCAAATTTTTTTCTTTTATCTTTTATTGGAAAACTTAAAATAGAAAAATTAAATAAAAACATCAACTATTTAAATGAAAAACTTAATTATATTTAAACTTTTATTAGTCCTTTATTCAAGAAACAATAAATTATAAAAAACGTGATATCTAATTTTTTATTAAGTTTTTGACAATTTATTGACGATAATTCCCCCCCTCCCCCCATTACTGCACATTGGCACAAACTATAAAAGAGACATATTTTCACAAAATGCTACAAAACTTATTCTTGTAAGTAATTATGTGTTAGTTGAAAAAAACGACTTTACTTTTAAATTCAATTACCAACTTATAAGTTTGCAATAATGACATTTTGTCTACTTTGTTTAATTTGACGTACTAACGTTAGTTTCATGAGGCAGTAGAGTCAATAAACTTTGGACAAGACGCATTTTTTTTAATCGAAGAAAAGCGTTTTTTTGAAAATTAAATTTGTTAGTGTGTGTTCATTATTACGTTTAAAAAATAATAATATACATCAAACATTTTTTTTTTATGCTCTTTCATATGAGATCATATCTTTATAGCACTTGGGGATCCCTTTAAAATAACTTTTTTTTAAATGTCTGCTCTCACCCTCTAAATGTGTTCTATATAATAAAATAATACTGGAATTGGAAAATTTTCAAAAAAAAAATTTTTTTAGCGGTAGCTCAAAACCCTTAATCATCAAACGGGTCCCTATAATTATCAAAAAATAGTTCTTTAAAAGTATATTATGTTGGGTCTCAAATGAAGGGAAATTATATAAAAACTTTAAAAATAATCATCATTATATAAGAAAATTATTATTGAAGATTCACTGCCTAGAAAATGACATTTTTAAACTAAAAATATGCATTTTTACAAAAAAATTTTATTATAATTTTTTGTCTCAATGTTTTTTATAAAATGATGATAATTTTTAAAATTTTTATATAATTTCGTTTCTTTTAGGACCCAACATGACATACTTTTGAAGAATTTTTGTTTTAATAATTATAGGGAATTTTTTTTTCTAAAATTTTTTAATTCCAGTATTTATATATATATATATATATATATATATATATATATATATATATATATATATATATATATATATATATATATATATATATATATATATATATATATATATACAACCCTTGGAATTAGGAAAATTGAGGTCGGCAATAATTTGCCAACCTCAATCTTTTAGAGGTCGTCATCAGATCGGCAAATGCAAAGGTCTTACCATAAAACATCGAAACGAGGTCGGCAAAACCGAATTTTTTTTTGCCGACCACAAATACGTTTAGGTCGGCATTGCCGAATGCCTACCCTAATTCCGAGGGTTGTGTATATATATATATAAAACTTAAATTTGTGAAAATTGGGTAGTCTCAAACACTTTTAGGTCGGCATTGCCGATTGCTGACCCTAATTCTGAGGGTTGCAAACATATATATATATATATATATATATATATATATATATATATATATGTATATATATATATACATGTTTTATGTAACATACAAAAACAAAAATATTACTCAACCTTAAATTTATTGCCAAGTAATTTATGTGTTATCTTGTGTTCTTCATTTTTTGTTTTGCTAAAAAACTGCTGGAACTCAGACATTACCATTTCAGGGCACTGGGACTAAAACAAAAATTTTTTTAGGATTAATCTGTAAAATTTCATTGAAAATAATAAAGAAATTATATAAGAAACTTAAAAATAATATACTCTCTAATTCTTTCAATATCCAATATTTTTTAATTTTTCAATCTTCAATATATTTTTAAAATTTTTCAATCTTCTATATTTTTAAAATTTTTCAATCTTCTATATTCTCTAAATGTGAATCTTTCAGAAAAAGTCTTCATTACCCTTTTTTTCATCGTTTAGAAAACACTTGACCAGTCAGAGTTTTCATCAATGGTGTAAACATAATGATTCAATATAACATAAATTTTTAAAGCTTTCAATATTTGAGCTGAACTACTCAGTTTAGTTAGGAGATAAACATTCCATAGAATAAAACAAAACATAAAAATAAATAAATAAATAAGTCCAATTTATTTTTTATTTTTGCTGTTAATTTTTTTTTTTTTTTTCCTTTTTTACTCTTAACAGAATTCAAAATTTAGATTTTCGCAAGCTATTAGCAACAGTATTTAAGATGCAATTTGTAGATTAGTTGAGCTTAATATGCAATTTACAGATTAATTGAGCTGGGAATAAATTAGTAGATTAGTTGAGCTTAGAATGCAATTTGTAGATTATTTAAACTTAGAACTAGTGTTGTAATCAACTTTGATTAGCTTAGAAATAGTGTTGTAATCAACTACTCTGGGAAAAATTTCCCAGGATTCTGGGAAAAATTAAATCTTGAAGCTCAAAAATCTAAATGTCATCTATATAACAACATTGTAAATATGATTGTATAGACTTTTTGGTATTTAGCAATTATTTAAGGCAGCCCCTGAATCATTGGGGTTTGGGAATAAATTGTCTCATTGTCAAAGTGGCCCTGTTCTCATTTTGTTTTGTTCCATTGTTTTTTAAATGATGTGATGTTAAAAAATAAAAAATGAATATAAATTACTTTATCATAATTTATTTTAAACGAAAAATTTATTACCGTATTTCGACTAAATCGACTTTAACTTGACTTAATCGATTTCAAAACTGTATTATTCTATTTTAGACTTAAGAAAATATATTAGTCGATTTGTTCGACATTATTATAGTCGTAACAAAACTAGTTAAAATGCAATTGGTAGATTAATTGAGCTTAGAATGCAATTTGTAAATTAGTTGAGCTTAGAATGCAAATAGCTAATAAACCTGTGCAATCATAGCCAAGATTCTCACAATTAACATAACAGATGCTGTCTCAGGTGGATAATGCAACTGCCTAGATTAAATAAATAACAATAAAATTAAATTAAATAACCAGAAATAACTTTCTCTTAAAAAATTTAGATGTTTTGCGCCTAAAATTATTCAGAGAAAGTGATCATCACTTATATATTAAAAAAAAAATTTATAATTCTTTTTAAATTTATAAATAAAATAAACAAATAAACTTATCTAAAAACTATATAAAAAAATAAAAAGCTAATTTTTAGAAATAGAAATAGCTTCATTTTTACTTCCATGCTTCTTCAATTCTATATACTGGACTTTCACTCATTTCATCAGGATGTAAACACAAACTTTTATGGTATTTTTCATATGCTTCTGAATAGCATTCTTTACTACAAAATGGTATCTAAATAAAAAGGGTATTTAACAACAAAATGGTATCTAAATAAAAAGGTATTTAACAACAAAATGGTTTTTAAATCTCAAAGGCCTCAAAATCTATATAGTATTACAAATTAATTAAGTGTAAAACATCTAGTTATGAATTTTTAAAACATTATTGAAAAAAATAACAAAAAGTTTTTACTTTTAATTCACAATAAAGAATTTTTTTAAATTTAAAACAAAAAACTTACACAGCAATTCGGACATTTATAAATGGAATTAACTCTTTGTACAGATAAAGAACACTGTTCATGATAGGGAAGCTCAAGAGTGTAATCAGCTGCTAGCCTTCTAGCCATATTTTGTGCAGTTTCAAGAGAACGCATACAATAATCACAAGCAACATAATTGTATTGTCGATTCCAAGAAAATTGACATAAAACAAGCGGTTTTTCAGTAAGAATTGTATCTCCTAAATATATTCATTATCTCTAAAGTATATGTACTTCATTTTTTTATTGCCATATCAACACATCTAAATATTATAGTTGATAGAAAAATTAAAAAAATATATAATAAAAAATAATATATACATATATACATATATATATATATATATATATATATATATATATTATATATATATATATATATATATATATATATATATATATATATATATATATATATATTACTCATGATTGTTTGTCATGAGTAATATATATATATATATATATATATATATATATATATACATATATATATATATATATATATATATATATATATATATATATATATATATATATATATATATATATATACATACATACATAAATATATACATACATACATATATATATATATACTTACATATATATATATATACATACATATATATACATTATATATATATATATATATATATATATATATATATATATATATATATATATATATATATATATATATATATATATATATATATATACATACATACATACATAAATATATACATACATGCATATATATATATATATATATACTTACATATATATATATACATACATATATATACATATATATATTACAAAGTCATCCGACATTTTGTCCGGCAAGATTTTTAATTCTTTAAAATAAAATTTTATTTGTTGATTTGAAATTGACAAATTTAAACTTAATGTAAACTATTAGACAAACTTATAAAATATGTTGATAATGGAGGCATTCATTCCCAAAAAAAAAAAGCGCTGTTATTAATTGTAGTTTTAATGACTGTTCTTTAACAGTTTTATTGTTATATTATTAAATTTAAAATTATTGCTTATTTAAAACGATCACAAAAGTCAAAGTATGTTCGATTAATTACTGCAAACGCCGTGGACACCGAAAAGCAAAGAAAAGCTAGCAGTTTGAAAAATTTGATAATAAAAGATTTTACAAATGTTTTTTTTTAGAGGCTGAGATCTCATCAATGGAATATTTTTAAAAAAACATTAAGAAAATATACATTTAAATATTAATGTTATAATCATCCGAATCATTCTATTTTAGCTTGAGCGGTTTCTCGGTGGCATCTGGTCCTACTCGAGTTTTTCGATTCTTTATTTATTATTCATTTTTTAAACTATATCTTTATTTGTATCTTTTTTCTTATTATTTATTTTATATATACATATATATATATATATATATATATATATATATATATATATATATATATATATATATATATATATATTTATAAAAGATTAAAAAGTTCTAGCTTTATAAAACTTGTCTGCCAAAGAAGGAGTGCCTTTTTGAAAAGTAGATAAATAATAACTTTTAGTACTCATAAAATTTTCTTCGTTAAATTGATCAAATTTTAATGCAGCCAGTGGAATTTTTAAATTAAATAATAGCCCGTAAATATTATATTGCGTTTGATTTAACCACCTTTAAATAAGTAAAAGCGAAGTTTAAATTTTTTATATCAAGTTTAAAAATAAAATGTTTATCTTAATATTTAATATATTAAAGACATTATTATACTATATTACTATAACAAACTTGTTTTCTTGCTGTTTTTATTATTAATAAAAATAGTTACATAAACGCCATATAAATACCTTTTTGGCGCTAAAAGTGGAGCTTATGCGCAAAATTGACACTTAGCATATTATATTTTTTTAAGTAAAAAAATTTACACAACTTTTATAAACCGGTAATGCAATTCAATGTAAACTAACAAGGTTTTCGAGAGAAAAAAACTCAATAAAACTTCAAGTCTATCGAAAAAAATGTGCAGTACTTAAACTATTTCATTTAAAATACAAAGATCTACGATAATAAAAATTCTGAATATTAAAAAAACAAACTACAACTTCACTAGCCTAAAATAAACTGGGAAAACATAACATATATTTCGATTGGATAATTGGGTTCCGTAAAACTCAGATACGCCAGAAGCTAGTCTAAAAAAACCCATCTGCAGTACTTTTTTACTCTCAGCATTTATCTTTTTCCTGTGTTCCTTTTAACTAAACAAATATGAATATATGTAAATATTGGTAAAAATTATTTGTTTAAATTTTATTTCAAAAAATTGATCGGACAATGTCCGACCAAAATAACTTTTGGTCGGACATTTTGTCCGGAACCTTATAAAAAAATAAATTAAGCCCTGTATATATATTACTCATGACAAACAATCATGAGTAAAACATATATATTACTCATGATAAACAATCATGAGTATCTGATGAATCATGAGCAATCTGATGTCATACTGAAATAGCCTGCTGCTGGGGACTTCAGTACATACATCGACTGACAAAATAGCCTGACTTGCAGTGGAGTGCTACTACATCGACTGAGGGTTTTGGATGGGGAAGCAATCATTTTATTCATCATTCTTCATTTTTTTCTTCTTCTTTTTCGAAAAAAACAGTATAGCTTAAGGGAAGCACAAAAAGTGAGCAAATGCTTATCAAAACATGCTTTAGTAAGTGTGTGTGTATATATATATATATATATATATATATATATATATATATATATATATATATATATATATATATATATATATATATATATATATATATATATATATATATATATATATATATATATATATATATATATATATTACTCATGCCAAACAATCATGAGTAAAACATATATTATTCATGATAAACAATCATGAGTAATATATATATATATATATATATATATATATATATATATATATATATATATATATATATATATATATATATATATATATATATATATATATATATATATATATATATATATATATATATATATATATATATATATATATATAAATATATATATATATTAGGGGTGTCCAAAAAAAATTTTTTTGAATTAAATTTTGCACAGTTTTAAATATTGTTTCTTTGATTGAAAAAACTTCTGTGCAAAATCTTAGGTGTTTTGGATAATGTTTAGAGGTTGCTCAAGGAAAATAAAAATTTACTGTGTTAAAAGCATGCGCCGCAACAACAATATTTAAAAAAACTTGAGTTATAGCTATGATAAACAATTAATCGTTTTCAAAAAATTCCTTAAATAATGCAAATGACATTCAAATGTTGCACTATATATAAGGTCAAAAGTTTAGTCTGTAGCAGCAGTGGCATATGTCATCAAGATGCTTTTGCGGCAATCTGGAATGCGTTTTCTGTTGTCCTCAACAACTTGTATTAGTTTCTGCATTTCAGATTCAGTTTTTGTGATAGATTGATTAAAATGTGCTCATAAGAGCAACAGAACGCTCAGCAGTATCGTTGATAACTTTGACAGATTTAACAATTGCTTTAGCATAACGAAATGCAGCAATTTCCTACCAGGTCTTTGGATCAGTTCTAGATAAAATGGTTACATCGAGACCAAGTGACTACAAAGCAGCAGTTGATGATGATGTAACAAGCTCATGAAGTTGCTTCTTTTCCAACTTGTTTAATTCTGCTGCTGGACACTTTATAACCCTGACACTCCAATCAGCTCCACTTTGAATCATAGCTTCAACAATAAACTTTTTTTCTGTGTCACAAACCCTGTCAGAAAATAATGTAAGTGGAATTATTTCTGACCCTTTATTATTTCTGAGCTTCTTCATAGCAGCATTTAAAATGACCTTGTTGATCTCAGAATAATGTTTAATTCTTGTGAAAAGCATCAGGTCATTTGCTGGAGCATCACTTGCAATTGGACAGGCAATCCATGCTGGTACATAGATATGAGCAGCAATGATACAAAATTCGTACAAGTTGTTCTATTCTTTCATAGTCAGCTTGAATTCATATCTTAAGAGGTATATCTTCATACAATAGATGACTTTAGCCATCCATCTAGCCATGTGATAAGCTCCCGGCATGCGAAAGTGATACTTCTTGGTAGTCTGATAACAGAAAACCCAAAAATAAAAAGGAACAGCTCAATCATCTCTTTGTAGTCTTCTCTTGGTAAGTGCAAAATTGTCATCTGATAAGAAAGGCTGCAGAAAGAAGCCAGCCTCTGATCTAAGTTGCTGAAGCTGTGGTTTAGCAAGATGGGCGCCATCTAATGGAGCATAATTGGCTTGATAAATGCTTGGCCAACACTTCTGAAATCGTTCAAATAGATCTATGTTGGGCCCACTGCTGGGTCAAAGCAAAACTAAGTATATTTCCCCAATAATTACTTCATACATATGGTGACGGCAAGCAAAGTAGAGAAGATTTTTCTCCATCAACTTCTCTAGCAAGATGCACGCACTGTTTTTGGAACCTGTGTTTGACGCTGTTGTGTCAAAACACATACCGACAATATAATTTGAAACATTCCATATGGTCAGTAACTGGAAGGTTACTTTTGCTTGTGCCAGTCCAGCGCCAGATGATATCTTTACAATACCCAGTATTTTTTCCAGATTAAAACCAGTCACATCAATAGCAATTCTATCAACATTGGACTTGTAATTAAACAAGCACCAACTATGAAAATACAACATTGGATTTTTATAGTTGGTGCTGTCTCTCATCATCTTCACCATCCCAGTGGACAACCATATGTTGTTTCTCACTTGACATAAATTTCTGCCTAATATGATTTTCAGCTGATGAACAGTGCATGATGCTTTTGTGACAGACAGTTGATCTTGATAATGGTGTACTTTGGAGGTCCTCTCCACTTGCTCTAGCAATTGCAGCTGCCAATATAGTGAATTTTTGGTCAGATAAATTGATTTGATCAAGTGTGGATGATACATCTGGAGAAGAAAAATTTTGCTGAGAATATGTGGCTTTTAATTTTTAGGACTTCATTCGCAGTCAGTTGATTGGGTTAATAGTTTTTTGTGATAAACTGGAATTTCTATTTCATAATCATCATTGTCATCAGGAATGTCACTGACTTCTGTTGCTTCGCTATCACTATCACAATCAAGTCTAAAGTGGCTACAGCTAGGGGTAAGGACAGCAT